AACGATTAAGTGTCTTATTAGGAAACTTGGTGGGTCATTTATTATCACGGAAAATTCATAATCAAACTAATCAGTTGACAAATTTTTCCACAGCAAATCTAAATTCTTATTGATATACTTATGTTTGTTCTCTTCTAAATAGACTTTACTAAAATTAACAGTTTGGTCAATTATCATTTTTCGGACGCTAGAATTTTGAGCCCGCACTAATTCATAGGCCGCAAAAACTAATATAGCTTTTTCGAGGGGGGGCAAGTGAAGAAAATCTCAACCTTCTTTCAAATTCTGGGCAATTTTTCCTTGTAAATGACTTTCCGTTTCCAAACAATTGCTTAATCAAGCAGACTGCTCTTGGTCTTTGCTAGTTTCCAATCTTGTTTCATCAACTTCACCTAGTAAATAATATTGGTAAAGCAGAAAAATCTTTCTCTTATCAAGACGAAACATGAGTAACTTCAACAAAAGTCTTTCCCCTTCGCCCTTGAAAATATTTAACCTGACCATCAAGACCAGCATGAATAGTATAATCCTTACCGAAATAAACGCCTTTGCCTAACAGGTATTTACTTCCCCGCTGACGCAAAATAATATTGCCGCTTTTAACATATTCTCCCCCAAACTTCTTTACTCCTAAATTTTTGGGATTATAGGACTTATGACTACGATTAGTGGCTGCCGAACCCCCACCCTTTTTCTTGGCAAAAAATTGTAAATCTAATTTAAATACTGATATTTTTAATTTATTGTTAATTTTGTATATCAAAGACATTATAAATCTATAATAAGGAAATTATGATGGACGATAATAATCAAGAGAGAGAGAGAGAGAGAGCAGACTGCCTCTCTTCCCGAAAAATCTAATTGGGCCTGAATAAAATGGGTAGTCGGCATATTAGTAGTAGTTGGGATAATAATTATTTGCTTTTGGAGAAGAGATATAGCCGATATGATAGGAAACTTGTTAGGGTTAATTCTTTTTCTTTTACTATTTTTTGGCTTACCTGGCTACGGGATTTACTGATTTTTCTTTAAAAAATCTTACTGTCGAGTTTGCCAAAAACCTTTAACTAGTTCTTACGAAATTTCTAAATTAATTTGTTTAGAGTGTGAAAAAAAACAATAAAATTTTCCTTTATTGCACATATTAATAACCTTTCTCCCATTTGGTAATTAGGCAGTAGGTGAATAGTGTTATTAAAAAATTGATAAATGTCTATTGAATGTAACAAGTAATAGAAAAGAGTTCGCTGGGTAGTTGAGGTGATATCCTAAAAAAATATCTTTTAACTGCGGTTTTAAACTCAAAAATCATACAAATTATATAAGTAAATGACAACAAGAGAAAACCAACAATTACAAAAAACCACCGTCCCCTCTTTGCCTTCCCGGCGGTCTTGGTTCTTTTTAGATTTGCGAGATTTAGTAATCGGCAGGGCGGCTAACCGAGTTGCCACAGTTCTCCGCGGAAAAAATCGAGTAGATTTTTTTCCTAATCTAGACTTAGGAAATTACGTGGTCTTAATTAATGCTCAACACCTAACTTTTACTGGTCGCAAGTTAGACAATAAATATTACTATAATCATTCTGGATACCCCGGGGGGTTACGCAAAAGAAATGCCAAAATAATGCTTAATAATTTCCCCACGGAGTTAGTCAAAAGAGTAATAAAAGGCATGATGCCCCATACCAAACAGGCTCGACAACAATTAAAAAGATTATTTATTTATCCGGGCGATACTCACCCTCATCAAGCCCAAGAAAAAAATTTTATTGCTATAAAAATCTAAAAAAAGTTATAGTTATGGATGAACGATATTGAAGTAAAATTTTTGGAGAAGTTCAGTGGATATTTTTATACCTCAACTTTCTGGCTCTTTTTTTTCCAAAACCTTTTGTATCGTCAAACACAAGAAAAAAAACGGAATTACTTGATGAGAACTGCTGCTGGTTATTATTTCTGCCTTCTCTTTGCTTTTCGTCATCAGTCTTTTTTTCAAGTTTAATGGACTTGATTAATCTTATTAGTGCCTTTCTTTTCTCATAAATCCTCCGTATTCCTACACAAATTCTACAA